GACTAAGTCACAAGAATTTGTTTTCTGTTTTCCTTATATGTGAATGCATTTCCTGACTAAAAAGACATGTCAAAGAAAGCTTCACATTTAAACGCATTTTTTTAACGATGAATTGGGGGTGCATGGGTCCCTAAAGCTAGCATGGAGACAGTGAAGTGAGGATAACTTTTTAAAATTTCAAGGAGTAGGATTGCAATGGAGACACATTTGTGAGACTCCAAAATTTCCATAAATCATCTTACCTTACCAAGGAACACTGAAGGAGCATTAAAATGTGTACTTCATGCATTGTTAGAGTATAATAAAGCTCAAACCAAAGTAAATTCTAAATATTTCATGTCCACCATTTTGTTTGCTGGGACTATTTTCTAGTCCAAAATAATCCTCACTCATGTATCCATTGTTTACATTTAAAAAACATCAATATCTATCATGATTATTATACTGTTATATATAAAGTATACTAGTGATAATCCATGCCACTTGGTGAAATCACAAAAACTTATATGAAGATTACAGGAAGACTAGAAGTAGTTCCGGCAAGAAAAATGGTGGACATGAAATATTTATCAGAAACTATGGTTTGAGCTTTATCATACTCTAACAATGCAAGAAGAGCACATTTTCATGCTCCCTCGATGTTCCTTGGTAAGGTAAGATGATTTGTGGAAATTTTGGATTCTTGCAAATGTTTGACTGTTGCAAGGCTACAAGGGACCCATGCACCTCCAATTCATAGTTATAAAAAATGCGTTTAAAAGTGAAGTTTTCTTTGACATGTCTCTTTAGTCAGGAAATGCATTCACATATAAGGAAAACAGAATACAAAATCATGTGACTTAGTCAAAAATATATGGCTGCCATTTTTTGTACTTTGATTAAGTTAACGGTTACCTTAACCATAGCATACGGTTTTTTAGCCATGACATACGACGCCATATGCGATGGTTTATGGATTTTTGCTACTTCAGACTCAAAACGAGGCTAAGTGTCAACATCGCCGGATCGTTTGGAAAATTCGAATTAAATCACTTAATTTCCGACGATTCTGATAATGACTTTAACTATGGAATAAAAATAACATCCTATGATTTATGAGTGATATGATTTTTATCCACGAATGGATATGATATCTGCACGAGCGAGCGTAGCGAGCCATCTATAACTGATATTTGCAGAGAAAATGAACCAAGGATAAATTGTAGTTTTTATGCATGGCCTACCAAGTCGTCTGGTTGCCAGATGACAACCGTTTATTCTTTGTTTGTTTTGAACAATAACATCTGAATAAAAGATAATTTAGATGTAGTTCGGGTGTTATATTTCCTTATCAAAGAGCAATGACAGTTTTAAGTCTATTGCAACGTTTGAACTTGAGATACTGCATCAGGTGAGTCCCAGGGTCTTTCCTCAGAAGTCCCATACATTACTAATAAGAATAGTAAAATCGTTGTCGTTATCAATAGAAGAACTGATCTTCGAATAATAATTCACAAACTCTTTAGGTGTGACCTGCAAATAAAAATATACAAGTGATAACCAGCCAAAATGAAACGAAACGCAGTGTTTAGTTGATTGAAGGAGACTATGCAGGTACACCATGCTAGTAAGGTACACCATGGTCATTCAGCGGTCCCTATTATAACAACGGTTAGAATCATAATACTTACTTCTCCATCTTTACTATTTGGTTCTTCCAACCCGTTGAGAAATTTTATAATCTCATTTGCTGTGAGTTCACCACCATGAGGATTTCTATGCTCTATTTTAAGATCATCTATATCAAATAATCCATCTCCGTTTCTGTCCGCTTTGTTGAATGCTTCCAAGACCACACCTTTCCTTGTTTCCGACATAGGTGGCTGCAAAAATCAATTATAAAATTGTAACATCTTCTTTGTCTATTTGAAAAATGTCATGGTCGTTGATGAATGGGGGAGGGGGAGGGGGGGGGGTATTTGAAAAGTGAAACCAGTTATACTTTTTTTAGATACGACAATCCCAATCCCACGTGTAGAGTACTATCTAGTACTCCCCGGACCCAACCCTTCAAGCTCATTCACACTATCTATGTTACACCCATACGTTGATACCTCACGTTCAGACCCACCCTAACACATCATCGGTGTTACCCACATCCACCATCTCATGTGTCACCACACCCCTTCGTTCCTATGTTACCAAACTGCTTTCATAACATTTGAGTAGCACACTCTCGCCACCCCTGTTTCCAAAACCCTGCTATACTACCAGACTCACCTCCACCATTCATAATTGTTCTTTTATAAGATACATATAATTTAGGATGAAAAAGAACGATCGTTCTATGACCCTTGTAGTCATAGATTGTTAATATTCATTACCCGCAAAGCAAGGAGGAATTCTTCAAACTCAAGTAAACCACTGTCATCTGAATCTAGCGATTGAAACAATTGATGCTTTTCATCTGCAGCTACATCACACTGTTGTCCAACCAGGCCTTTCTCGAATTCCTCAAAACTAACGGAATCGCTGAGGTCACCATCCAGCAGCTTGAATTGTCTGAAATCGAAACAGTCCCCGGGTCTTAACCTCTTGCATTGTCGTTTCATAACAATAGCCCATTTTGTAAACATAAAACCATCCCCAAAGGCCAAAGCTATAAATTCTACAGGAAAATCGAACAAAATATATGTCTTGACAATAAATCTACATTTAAGAGTAAAGTAATCGCTTTGTACGTTAACCTTTACCTTGCTATCTTTTTGATTCCATTTGCCTTAAAGCATAAATAGAGGGTTAGTCCTTCGTCGACACTGTTTAAATCAATCTGGTTTTCTTGAATGTCATCCGTGTCATCTGTCATCTGGCGAAATATTCTGAAACAGTTTACGTATATCTATTCATTGCAAATACTATTTTACATTTTTGGTGCCTACGTTTGTTTAGTATTTCTCTAATACTCATTACACAATGAAACGCCATACGTTCATCTTGGACTAAGAAAATCAAAGTGTAGCATTTGAGGGACGACACGATTCTCTATAATAGCTCAGCTGAATAATAACATAAGGCTTACAAATGTAACTGAGTCTTGACCTAGATTTTGAACTATTCTAGTACCTCATCTAACAAAAAGAATCGCAATGGGCATGGTTAATGACCCTAAACATGATGTTTTTCTATTTCTAGGAATGAATTCAAATTTTTAAAGCTCCTCTCATTTGGAGCAATATATTGGAAACATTTTTCGTCTGAATGACGATAAACACGATGAAATAGTTTTTTCAGCCCTGTGAGAAGGTGGCTGAAAAACAGTTAAAAGTTGTACTTCCTGAAACATCTCCAAACAGAGTCTTTTGAGATTGTCCCCATTGATCATCTCCGTAGCAATACAAAAAATATTTCAAGAAAATCTTTCAAGAAGCAATACAGAGAATACAGAATATTTCTGAGGGAAATATCCCCTATAGTTGGGGACATAAATAAATGACAGGTGGATTTGCTGAAGTGAGGATTTCCCATGTTAAAAATAAGAGAATTTACAAGAGGCCATAAATCAGGGGATGAGATTTTACAAAATGTAAAATATACAAATTTTAAGGGATATATATCTAGACAATATTGGAAATTATGGGCTTTCAGACCACCATAATTAGGAAATGGTGATCGAAAATCGACCTGTCATTTATTTTTGTCCCCAACTGTAGGTAAAATGTATTGGCCTCAGATCATACAATAAAAACGTTATAGAATGACTTGAAGTGCAATACAGGATATATTCTTCTCTCGATATTATGTATTGGCACTCGACTTTCTCGAGCAGAATATATCCTGTATTGCACTTCAAATCATTCAAAAACTTATAATGTTTTTACCTTTTTAATATATCTTCCATCACCTGATACTGGTCAGTTGAAGACCCTCTGTGTACAATACAAAGAAAGGCAACACCAAGGCAAAGAAGCGATTGCATCTAAAATAAATGTTTGATAATAAATAATGTACACTACCCCATTATACACAAGAAGTAACTTATTTTCGAGGTTGACGACCGATTTTTTTTACTGCAAATTTCAGCCTCTTGTAAATGTTATAGACAAAAATGTACGCTCAACAATTTTTGAAAATTCTGGAAAATGTAGTTGTACATGTATGGTGAATATTCACGTTGATCGTACCTCGACTTACCTTGTAGAGATCAATGACGAGTGGATCTGAAAATACCCGTTATTTCACAGCTCAGTCAATGGTAAGTGAGGGCAAGCAAGTCTTTGTTTACAAGCCTGGCCGTTAGTCTATTCAGTGAACCATGTCAGCTTTGGACAAGCAACCAATAATCATGTTGAGAGAACATTTTACTCACCCCCGGCTTACTCATTCACTCATTTACAATAAATTCTAGGCTGCATTTTTGAACTGCCCGCGGCGCAAGGACAAGCAACCAATAATCATGTCGAAAGAACAATTTAGTAATTATTTTGAAAGATAGTACAGTTTATAGCAGTGGAAGTCCTTCCACGGGGGTAAAGCAGATCGGCATTAATATTGCCAATATTACACTGATATTGGTCGTTCGTCAGTGTAAGAAAAGCGAGGGACTAAATACGTGAATTGTGTCTTTGTTAACATATAAAACCTAAAACCATCGACACATTCTCAAACTAGACTATCTTCCTTAACTTCGAGCCAAATTATTATCCACTACGTGACTTATAAGTAGGTGTAAATCTTACCGAAACCTAGTCCCGGAGGAAGTTCCGCCATGATACACCGACGATACGTCTGTGTAATTAGGTGGGTAGCAGTGACTGTAGATCCGAATTACCCTTTCGCGTGACAAAACTCAGTCAGACCTAAAAAATTAGGAATCTGAATACCACAAAGGTTTGGAAAATTACTTTCGTATTTTAGGTCAAAACGTCTCTATTGAAAAGTCTTTGTGTAAACTGTTGCCTCGGGGTGTTTCAGCCAAGATATTTTTTCGAAAAAGAACATGTTAGAAAAGCATCAAAGTAGAAGAGGCTCCACATTTCAATACCCAGACCACAGTCAATCCGAATAAAAAAAACGTTTCACATGCAATACGAATGCACATGCATCGAAATAACGTTTAGTGGTTCTTTGTTGGTTGCTTATTTTTAGGTTTGCGATTGACGCACAGAAAGGGTTATTCAGACAGAAAATGTCTATCTAATTAGCTGTCAGTGTATTGTCTTTTTAGAAACCAGACAGCTCATTAAATCGATCATTTTCACAATAAGATTGTATTCACGAATGCAACTTTCGGCTGTCGGTTACCAGATTGACCTGTTTATTTGCAAAAATTAACCCGACAATTAGCGAACTAGCGAATCAGCTATCGGAATGTACAGGAGGTACTTTTCATATTAAAAAGAGTTTGCCATTAAATAGCAATCAACCCGTTAGCCGGTAGCTGTTATTTGCATTTGCGAATACAAGCCTACTGATCATATATCCGACAGTTTGAGCCGAGTCATCGTAAAAATAAATGCGTTATGAATATAATTATAATAATACAGAAAATGGCATAAAGTGCAAATCATTCCTGACACGTACGTTCACCTTTCTAATGATACATCAAAATGATGGAACAAATATCGTCATCCCTCTGACACTTGTTTGCCTCTCATGTGCTCGAGTATTGATTTTGCGTTACTTATCAACCGATTTAGCCGTCGGGATTGAGAAGTCATCACGTCGTCCATTTGTTTGTAAAAAGACCTCTATCGATTGTTTTTTCACATATTTATGCCCATAACTATAGGTAATTGTTATTTCCTCAATATATCGTACATGTTGATGGTGGAAGATGAAAAACACGTCATAGTTAACCGTAAGAAATACATTCATGAGAGAAATCAAATAATTTTAACGCATGCACTTTTTCACTATTCAGGTTTTTTTCATTCATCTGAATAAATAGATGGCGGCCCGTTTGAGTTGTGAGAGATCAGAGACTCAAATTAATTTCGGATAAATGGTTCACACCCCTAGCGCCACCTTTTTTATGGGCTACTGTTTTAAAGGAATGATATCATGAGTTGAAAATAGTCCAATGGGGGAGCTAAGGTTGCCAAACTTATGGAGGGGAGTGTAAAACATTATTCAACAGAGGAATTGCTATTTTAGATTCTGTGAAATTGATTGCCTTCAGGAGTTCATAAGTTCAAGTTGGCTGTTCTGTTCACTCCCCATCTAGCATATTACAATTATTCTCGTAGAATAATATCTAGACATTGAATATAGATTTAAAGGAAGCACACTTTCAGAACAGCCATCTAGAAACTGGATGGAAAATGGACACATGACCTACCTGCCTGTAGTTTAATGAATTTTATTTCGTTTTACAGGGTGGCCGGAAAAAAGTAGAAAAAGTACAGCATAATGATGATCACTGTTGCCAAAGTGTTGATTTAGCTTATCTTGTGGGTCATTTTAGGTATGGGGAGTGGCGCCATCTTGCTGAAGCCACTATGTGGCACAACCTATCAAATGATCACAGATTGCAACCAAGGGCTGTCCAAAACTGCCTCAGGATGATACTGCCATGCATCCGGTCGATCTTGCATTGTCTGGAGTCTTTCGAGATATCCTCTAACCTAAATGAACTTCACTATCTTTATCTTTTCCGTTGAATCTGCCAAGAGTCAAATGAGTCCTAAACTTTGTATCCCACTTGGATATTACACATTTTCTTTGACAATCATGTTCACGTGTTGCACCGACACTACCGATTTGTTCCTAAAAAAGTTCATCGGATCTAGAGCGTCCTACCATGTAACATGTGTGAAAAATCCGTTAAGTTAGTTTCCTGAAATCGTGATGACAAGATTTATCTTAAAACATCCAAATGGCCGCCACAATGCAAGATGGCCGCTGAAAAGCTAATCGGCTCTAGAACTTCTTACCATGTAACATGTGAGAAAATTTGAAGTAAATCCGTTAAGTGGTTTTCCTGGAATCGCAATGACAAGATTTATCTAAAAACTTCCAAGATGGCCGGCAGAATGGAAGACGGCCGCCAAAAAGTTAATCAACTCTTGAACTTCTTACCGTGTAACATGTGTGAAAATTTGAAGTAAATCTGTTTAGTGATTTTCCTTGAATCGCGATGACAAGATTTATCTAAAAACTTCAAAGATGGCCGCCAAAATGCAAGATGGCCGCCGAAAAGTTGATCAGTTCTAGAACTTCTCACCATGTAATATGCATGAAAATTTGAAGTAAATCCGTCAAGTGGTTTCCTGGAATCGTGAAGACAAGAAAGTGAGACGCCACCCGCCCGCCGGCCGCCCGTCAAGCTGACGACAATATCGTACCTTTTTGGTACGATAAAAACTGAGCTGAAGGCGTAACATACAGCAAAGCTATAAAGACTTGTTATTGGAAATCTTAAGAAATAAGGAATTGGTAGACTTATAAAAAAACACAATACAAACTTGATCAATTTGAATCAGGAGATTAATCCGCCGGTCACAGCGCTCGAGAAAACAACATGGAGAACATCAAAGTGACTTCTTTTATGACAGGATTCAGCAGTTTTTTCATTATTGGAGTTTTCTTCATTAGCCAGGCACAGTCAAACTATTACAAACTTGGTGGCGTTGGGAGAAGAGTAAATGGAACTGCGGCAGAGGACTTTTTTGATATTGTTAATACTACGGAGTGTATCCTCAGATGTGTGGACAACATTGAGTGTTTGTCGTTGAATTACAATTCCGTTACACTGGAGTGTCTTATTTACACGGTGGATGGGTTAGAAAAATATGACGATCCTGACTGGACGTATGTTTACGCAAAAAGAGGTATGTAGAATTTTTATGCCAGAACGGTGATTGATTTTGCGTGCAATTTATTGTGAATTTCAAGGTTATTTTGAAGGCAAGCACAACAAAACAATCACAACAACAAAATATTCCATTCTGAATAAAAATGTTTCATATGGCTTGGGAAGGAAAAAAGGTTAACTATACACTCTTCAAAATTATTACTTGGATTTCCTTATATTGAGAAATTGTACTACTCATTTTAAGTCAAAAATTACTTAAATAATCTTGAACTACTGAATAATTTTTAAGTAGTTTTTAAGTAATTCATTTATGGTGAATTTACTAATGCAAGGAGAGAAATTGAAATACTTACTGTAGTAATTGTAATACTCATTTACATAATTAAGCAAAACTCAAAATGGCAATATAAGTTAAATAAGTAAAATGAAGAAAAACTAAGTATTTAACTTTAAGTAATTTTTATACTTGGGAAATACTTGGGAAATACTTGGGAAATACTCAAGTAATTCATTTTTAAGAGTGTAATGATTTATGACTCCTATATAAGTGTAAGATTTTTGATTATTTTAGAAAGATCGATCCGAATTATATTTCGGACATGATGAAGTCTTTCAAATCCTCACTATTGAATGCCAATCATGCACAGTTGCATGTATTACCTGTCTAATCGCAATTTTAGTCAAAACACGACAGTGCAAAAATGGTCATATTACCTTTTGATTACATTTACACACTGCCACGTGTATTATCTCGGCGCGAATATCTTTGTTTCATGGCAAGACAAAGCTCATAAATATGTCTGAAAGCAGATTTACCTTTGAAATTTTACGTTTAAAAATGACTTTGACTAAAAGCCATTTGTAGGACAAAAGTTGACTCTAAAGTGAAAATGAGTGCTTTTTCGTCGTTGATCTTTGACCTAATAACAAAAAAATCTAATTGATTGATCCACTCTCATTTTAGTTCGATAATATCGTTTTCTTTGAGTGATCTAGATGATATCAAAGATTAGAATTGAATGTCCAAATATTTTCAAATTAAAATTAGTGCCTTAAGTATTGTTTGCTCTCATTTTCAGTTACCATGGTAACTCTAAGGTCGTGGTTACCATGACAACTTAATTTTTTAGAGGGCATTTACCCAGTTGTGGTTGGACAAAGTTTGGTGGAAAACGGGCCTGATTATGATATTATGTTAATGTTTGGGTTTCCTGCGGCAAAGTAAATCGGCAATTTAATTATGGGGTGATGCCATGTATAATTGTAATACGTCAATATCTAAAACTCCAACAGTTCATCTCGTGCCGATGCAAAATGTCAGTACCTACGCTCATTCATTTCATCCTACAAACTATAGTCCAAGTTAAATTAATCTAAATGTGTTTTTCTTGTTAATTAAGAAACTATACTTGTAAACTATTTTTCATAATTTGAAATATATTTGTCCTAAAGAAAATTCAATTTCTATAGCGATAAATGATCTGTTGACTTAGGGGCCATATCTATGGCGGTATAACTGCCTCTGCTGAATCATTGTTAATATCTCCAGGATATGAAAGGATCGAGTTCCAAATTGAATTGATTAAGTTTGATTTCAGGTGCTGGGGTTTTTCATGTGGAAGGTTCCGGGGGTCGATACAGCATAGCTGATCCAACCGTCGCTGAATCCGTGTGTACCAATAACTACAACGCCGTGTCGCTTGCTACCCCCGAACAGTTGGCTGCAATGGTTGCAAATGGGTTCTTCATGTGTAAATGTGGTTGGGTAACAGATAGATCATCGGTTATTCCGTTGAATTACACAACATCCGGTTGTGGAGGTCTTAGCGCGCCACCTGGTGTCCTAACGTGTGTTAACCCGGGTGGAGCGCTACCAGGTTACGCCCCAAATGGACAGGATGCTTATTGTTATACAGATTTTTAAGTGTTATTAAAAGGACGAAAGAGCTACATCAACAATTATTAGATCACAGTGAAGATCTGAGAGAAAGTCATTAGATGGAAAACTCGCATCACTATTAAGTAGTAAAGTAATGACTAAATGTGAAATTGGAGGATAAACTGCTTAAAAATTAACGTTAAACTTCAATTGATATGGGCATCAACATGTTGTCATTGCAAGACTTTTAGTCATAGTTTGGTCTTTAAAATGGTTGTAAATAAGTCTAAATAAGGTCAATTTTTGAATCACTAAACTAAAGATTAAAATTTAGGTCCGTTTGGAACACCTTAAAGACAAAAAATTATATACCTATAACTTAAGCATCATGATATACCATGACATCTCATTTCTTCTCAGCCCTGAGATGTTTCAGGTGAAACAGAAAGATGCTATGAGTATCAGAATGTAACTTAAGTGGTATTTGAAATGTTACATGTTGCGAAATGTAAGCAGACAATTGCAAAGGGGTGTGAATGCAAACTCCTGGTTTCAAGAGTCATAAAATATTAACTACAAAAACACTAATTGAAATGCCTTATCATAGACATTTCAAATTATTTCATACTATGCCGTTTCAATTAGATAAATCTGGTAAAATAACTTGGGCATCAAATATTTACTTTGTTTTAAAATACACAACAAATTAAGGTGGCCTAAAGTGCTGCTTATTTTTTCGTGAAGCCACTCAGTTTAATTACTATTTCTCTGCACCCTGATGTTCAATCAACATCATTCGAGATCCATGTGTTCCTGACACGTTTAGGCATCTGGTAATGACAACGTCTACCCAATGTTTGCACGGGAAATTGACGTAATTCGTGACTGAAATCTGGAAGACAAAAATATGTGATATTCTTTCAGAATTGTTTATAATAACTATTTACAAAAAAGTTCCCGAGACACAAGTCCATTTAGGTGGAGTTTGTTTTAAAGTCGAAATTTGAGTATTTGCAATTTGAGTATAGATAATTAAAGCTCTAGCAAAGCTAGTTTAGAGTTTAAAATCATTGTTTTGAATCGGGAGACACATACCAAGGGACAGAATATGTAAATATTGTACCATAGTAATCTGGGATGTGTATCATGTAATTTGTAAATATCCTAGACAGATACCATGATATCAGATTAAACCTTCATATCACATTTTAGAAGAGTATAACACAGGCCGATTAAAAAAAAATACAATCTGAAGAAGTTATCATAACAAATATGAAGCAACTAAGAATGTGAATTTTTATCATTTAATTTTGCAATTGTACATTTTGTGATAGAAATGTACGTGAATAACAATTAACGCGTCTCAAGTTTAGTTACAGACGGGAGATAACGAAATCACTTAGTTTTTCCACGATCATCAACGTGGAAACAAAGTTTAACAATTAGATCAATACTTTTAGTTTTGATTTGATAAATAAATTCAAATTTTCACAACCTTTATATTTTTGTTTACTAGTGCACAATCTGAAATCCTCGCAACTGAATCAAGTTTATGTTTAACAATGAAGTTTAACTTCGACATACCTGTTAATAGCCCCACACCCTGGACGCTAAAGGAATTCAGAAGTCATTAATACGCCAATACAAAAATCAATTCATACCTATGTCAACATGAAGTTCCTATCATTATCAGCGATCATTGTTTATTTGAATGTAAAATCGAATGGAAAGTGTATTTGAGATGGAAAATTGCAAAAATGATTATTTTCCCAGTAATTTCATAATTATCTTTCAAATGGGCATAATCTGGGATATTTTATGCCACGAAAATTACATGCTTCACTACATTAACATGCTTCAATAATAGTTTTTAGTTAATCATAAATTACTATGAAGTAACTTATCTGATTCCTACAACTGACCCTTATGGCAAACATTCTCAGATTATTTATTCTGAAGCCAGCTAAATATAGGACGGTTCTTTTGACATCATTTTGAAGAATCTTTTAAAATTATCTAAAAATAGACATTTTAATCGGATTGCCGTATTGATCCCTAAAAGCATTTCATAAGTTAATATTTGCGATATTCAGTAAACAACTTTTAGTCTAGCAGGAAGGAAGGTGCTTATAACGAATCTTAAATTAGAATTTGACAGGATATCTGTTTTAAGAATTTTGATATTGTTGCATCATATAATCACCTAATGTGTAATAAAACCTTACAACTGTGCGGTCCACATATCTTGACCGCTTTGCTAACCCCCCTATCACACCAAACTAGTTCTTACCCGTTCTTGCCAGTCCTACGAACACGTCGTAAAACGGGCTCAATCTGGCTATGGTCGGGAAATATGTTATTGTTTAATTAGCTACTTCGTTCAAAAACAGTCTTCAATACGTCCATCTCATTCGCAGTTCGTTCAGGTCGCACCACGTCGGTGTGCAACGTCGTATAACGCGTCCCTTAGTCTAGAAGGTCATCATGACCTGATTACAGAATCGATTCAAAATTCTAAATTATATTCCCCGTCCGGGAAAGTCCATGAAGTTCGTAAACAGACCGTAGAACGTTGTAGCTACGTTCATTCCGTTCGCACAAAGTTTAAAACCAGTTTTGAAGAACGCAGTGGCAACTTGTTTGGTGTGATAGCTATATTTTTGCTTACTCGTTCATAAGCAGTCTTAAATACGTTCTTAATCAGTTTAAACCCGTTTGCAATTAGTTCTACCTCGTTCTCAATACGTCCTCAGAAAGTGCAACTCGTTCTTAAAACGTACCCAGTAGGATTGAAGTACGACGGTTCCGTTCGTAGTACGTCCAGCTCGTCGTTAGTACGTTGTCACTCGTTCTAATTGTAGAACGTATCGACCACGAGAACATTTTGAGCATGTTCTAACACCCCAGTCACATTTGTCGCACGGCGGCCGCAAGTCGACCGCAGATCAATTAAATCGGTGAATTTCTGCGGCGAGCGTAGAAAAACTACGCTCGCCTTGCGGCCTCCGTACGGCGAATGCAGATTTTTACAGGCCGCAGGGAAGGCGTAGAAATTATAACTCGGAGTTATAATATTTGTTCATTTCTGAGGTCCCGTAGAAATCAACTGGCTCAACAAGATTGAATCATTATTTGTCAATGTTTCACGATCACTTTTCATTTGATATTACATCCTAGCACTTTGAATAACATTTATAAATTGTCCAGATGTAAATGAAATGAAAAAAAACTATTATTTATCAATAGAAATTTAAAATTCACCGTGCGGCTGCCGTGGGAAATGTGACTGCAAAAGTATGAGAGCGCAGATATTCTGCGGCGAGCGTAGAAAAGCTACTGGCTGCAGAAATGATAGACCGCAAGGTCGCCGTAGGAAATGTAGGAAACGTAGGAGATGTGGGGTGTTAGTTCTAGAGGACCTACCCGTTCGAGTAGGTCCGATGAAGTTTGTAAATAGACCCCAAAGGGTTCTATTAAGTACGTTCAGTCCGTTCGTACACAGTTGAAGCCCGTTTTCGAGAACGTAGTGAAAACTAGTTTGGTGTGATAGTAGGGTTCTATTTACAAACTTCATAGAACGTACTCGAACGGGAAGGCCTACCATGCTGAGCAGCGTAGTTCAAGGCATTTGTTCCCGTGTCGTCAGTGTCTTCAAAACTGGTTTTAAACTGTGTGCGAACGGAATGATCGTAGCTACAATGTTCCACGGTCTGTTTACGAACTTCATGGACTTTCCCGGACGGGGTATGTGATTTGGAATTTTGAATCGATTCAAAATTCAATGGCGACCATACCGTTCTGTAATCAGACTAATGGACGCGCTATACGACGTTGCAAACCGACGTGGTGCGACCTGAACGAACTGCGAATGAGATAGACGTATTGAAGACTGTTTATGAACGAAGTAGCTAATTATTTTAGACATATTTCCCGACCCCACCCAGATTGATCCCGTTTTACAACGTTTTCGTAGGACTGGCAAGAACGGGCAAGAACTAGTTTGGTGTGATAGGGGGGTAACATTATCAAATCAGATGTAACATCGTCCATTTTGGAAAAACAGTCAGCTTCCTTGAGTATAAGTTAGTCAATACAAGACTTTTCACATTTCATTATATTTTTTATTTAATCAAGAGGAATGTATTTTACATCTCCTAGTGACGACTGTACTAATTTACAATTTTGATTCATCAGAGTGTCTCTTTATCGAATGCTTAATGTATCTCTCTTCAAAAGATAATCGAAGCTATGGAACTCACAATTCTAATTTGCCCTCATCTTTGAGCTGAGAGAGGTCGTGCTTAAACCTTATGGTAAGAGATTCATTCATTTGAGACCTTGTTTTCCATGATCTTCCATTTTATGTTCTTGAAACTAAAATATTTTAAAAACCAAGCTTAGAAATATCATTCTATACTACAAATCCAAATATAATACCATAGAAGGAAAATGTATGTAGGAACCACAGGAGTTAGTTAAAAGTCCTATACAAAATCACGTCCCTAGTCTCTAGTTAAGCTGACTTCGTTCTTCCAGGATCACTTGGTCTAGTCCTAAGCTCTTAACAAAAATTTTATTACGACTTTTTATTGTCCAAAAATGTTAAATCCAAAATTGTATAATTAACGGCTCCAATTTTGCCTTCTGAACATATTATATTGATTTTTATACTTGTATTGTAGCTGTTAGTGATAAAATGGTGCTGTTCTGTTAACTTACACAATATTGCAACCTTGATAATCGCCACCATTATACGCAAAGAACTATGAAAGAAACAGATTATGTGAACGAAGATCGCCATCCTGTCACATTGGCAATCTCTTAATTTGGAATTTCCGCGTCATTCCCAATGTAAGCAATAAGATAAGTATCAAAATGTTCTTGGCAAGCAGAAACAAAAATGGATAAAAGTAATCCAAATATTATTAATTGTTATTTAGGCGAAGATAAGAATTTGAAATGCCTGGAATTAACATTGTCCTGGGAACCATGATGTGAACCGTCCTAATATCACGTATCTTCCTTTTGAGTCCTAAGAATAATCTCTTCTTTGTGTAGTGGTTCAGTCATTTTAAGATTAGTAGTAATACTCGGGGCTGCAAGTTCTTCGAATTGTTCCTGTGTCATCTGAACACCGACTGCTTCATCGGCCTCTCGCTTTGCCTTCCTTCGTAACTCAGCGTCCACCAGCGCCATTTCTCTGTAAATCGCCAAATAGAATTTGTTATACCATCCAATCCATAAGTTTGTCAAATGAAAGTTCCCTTTTGGTAGAAAGGAGTACAGAAAATCACAAAAAATAACCGACGGATTATATTTACCCGAAATCGACTGAACCGTCGCCATCTTTGTCATACGTAGCCATCAACTGTTCGAGTTGAGCCTCTGTTAATGGCACTTTGATGCTCTGAAAGGTCCAATAAAATGTTCTTATTATTAAAATCACACAAAGTAATCAGAATCGATTGTTTATTCAAAGAAACGCATCAGTGTAGGTAAAAGCCGAAGTTAAACAATGTTTTTGTAAGATTACACTGTATACAATTGCATTCTTCATGACTGTATTGTGTTGAATAATAGTATATCTTGAATAAACACTTGACGTTTTTATGGGATAAGTGGCATGTAGAAAACTCACTCTCATCCCATCCCTAAATTCCTTCTTAGTTATCTTCCAATCTCCATTCTTATCGAATTTCTTAAAAAGGTCGATGAGCCGCAAGTTCCTTGATGCCATGAACCAGCGCAACACATGTATGGGGTTAGACACATAATCTGTCGTATTTTTGTGGCCGGTCCCTGGTGAAAAGAAAACTATATGGTTGCATTTTAAAATGGTATTATATCGACAATATTATAAAACTTTAGAAACCGATTAATATATAATTGGCAAGTAAACCCTAAACGTTTCCCACATTGATATGTTCATGACGTGATCTTTGTGATATGGCATTATAGAGGGTGACTTCCCACATAGTTAACAAAGTACGGGTGCTCCATTCCGGCCTAGCAATCTCAGTAACACCATAAATTAAATGAACTAAATGTAGAATTATGTTTTACAGGATAATTATACTTACCAAATTGCATATTTGAATGGAAGACTCCACCCAGGATGATGTTAAAGTCAGGCTTTGTATCTTTAATTATATCAATGCACTTTGTAACACCCACATGGACATGTATACCCTAAATACGTAACATAAAATTAGGTTAAGGATAGATTATGAGTATTGGGTTTTTAGGAGGAATAATAGCCGAGGCCGCTAGGTCGAGGGTATTGGTTCTCCTTAGACCCAATACGAATGGTTTATCTAAGTATTAAACCACACACAGACTCTTATGAAAGCTAAATGGGCCCTTAGAAAACCCTGATTTCTTTAGAGGTAAGAGTGTTGAGATTTGTGGATGTAATTTGTTCATCTTCAGTGCACTACATGTAACAGTTTAGAATTTTCTTTTTATTTACTATTCAACTATTGAATGAATGAATAGGGTGTAATTAGCTCAGCTCCAGTGCACTACATGTATATGTGTCAGTCAATCGTCGTTTGTGCTGGCTGTACTGGTTTTGGATAGCTTGCCAATTGTCCATTCTTTAAAACAATAGAAAAAGAATTTACTTTCCTTTTGATTTAACCGGACATTTTTAAGATAACCCACAGCTCATTCTATTGTGTTGCTACCTAAGTGGGGTTTTATGCCATATGACTGGTCATTATCTTCTGCAGTTAAGTGTATTTCGATTTTGAGTACCAAGCACTTATATAAATCTTGGGCAGCAGATGTCGCAATTTGTTTATTGTCTTTCAGTAGACAATGTTGGTTGTTGGTTCAGTGTAAACCTTGAGTATGTCAATAACCAAATCAACCCTCTCGGCAACATAAAAACATGAATAAGCTGAGTTAAAAGTACCTCAAACGACATCAGTATTTTAGCTTGATCAATTTTCTACATCCTGGACATGCCTTCACTTGGATACGATATATTGACCGAAACGTGTATTTTTGCCTGCAAGGTAATTTGGATCTAACATACAATACCCTTTCACTCAACTTAACCTTGTGAGCCAACGCACCCCATAAGTAAATACATACGTAAATTGTTAGTGCCAAACGGATAAGACAAAAGGTTATTACGAAACACAGTTATTAGGAGAATAACCCCCAATATCCCGAACTATGATCCCACGTACAAATTAAAGAAACAATGTCCAACATGCCCTACTATTTTTATTTTCCTCTTACCGTCATATCCAAAAGCGTGATCTTCTTGCTTTCATTTTTCCTAAGTCCATTCAAGATAGAAATGGCGGTTACGCTGGTCACGGGATTCTTTCCTATCTGAAACACGAGTAAAACTCTAAAAGTAGATCTAATTAAATAAATGAAGAATTTCCTTTTAATTTATTTTATATTCCTATTTATTTCAAGTGATATGCCACGACATGTGCCAACATGGGAAATAACGAATATGAGTAATTTCAACTATATATGGTTTTAAAGATTTGTCAACTACGATTACAATACTGACAGACCTCTATATATGAGGATACACGTTTCAAACATTTGTTCTTAATTTTGTTAAAATTAGAGAGAAAAAATATCATTCGGATACTCATTCGGATACTCATCGTATATCCTTTTTACAACGGCGATTACCATATGAGGGTGACACATTGAACGTACAATCACCATCTTGTTTCAGAAATTACCTTGAATATCTTGATACTTTCATTCACTTCAAACGCCTTTTCAAACGTCATGGCGCTTATGTCGTGGATCCTATTGCTGCTAATATCAAGCTCATTCAATACAGTGTTTATCTTCAGGGCTTTTGCCATGGCAAGGGCACCATCATTTGAGATTCCATTCATCGACATATGAAGTGTTTTTAAGACACAATTATTCTAAAATGAAAACATGGACAGTGGTCCATGAAAGGACGAAGCGTTATCTATAAATAAGAACATCACACATATGAACGTAATTTACGTCAACGCGTTAGCCTGGCGTCGGTCAACTGGAGGTAGTTAATTGTCTGTTTGTAAACATATATATTTTATTTTTTCCTTAGTTCGTGTAATTAACAATGTATGCATCAAGTTAACAATATCAAATGATAACATTTCGAGTTATTGAGTCAGTGTGAACCCCCAGGGTCAACCAGCAGGGGTTCCTTGATTCATAGACAGTATTATCATTATGGTTCTGGAATGTCAGCTATGAATACAGTTTGGCAACGTCAACGCGGTAGCCTGGCGTTAGTCAACAAAGGGATTTTGTCTGCTTGTAATGTTACTTTTTCTTAAATTCATGTAATACATACACTGTATACATGTATCTCCTTTTTCATTAAGGGCAATTTAAAGATATACATACATACAATAGAGCTGCGCAATAAATGATGACGTAATCAAACGCTTCACAAGTTATACGTTATACGGAAATAATAAACATGCTATAAGTGAGTTGCAAAATCTCTCTAATGTGTACGTACTTGCCTACCTTCAATGAATCAGCGATTGCGATGCCACCTTTCGATCTTATATTGTTCCAGCTAATGTTTAGATAGCGAAGGGCATCATTTAAACCTAGGATAAAACCAAGCATATAGGATAGATATAGGAAGCATTGTAGAGTCACCATGTATCACTTTGAAACCACCTATATTGTTCCAGCTAATTTTATAAATAGCAAAGTGCATCATTTACACCTAAGACAAGGCATTAATATGCAAAATGTCACCACCTGCCATTTGCTACAGACACTGAACGCCGAACGCCAAACGACGAAAAAAGTTGGGAAACTATAACAATATGATCACTTGTGGTAGTTACATAATACAACCAACGATATATCAAAAATGTCAGGAAGCATTGTCGAGTCACCTCGGACCACAATATGAATGAACGCTTTGTGTTAAACATTTTTTGTGTGTGTGTTAAATCATAGTATGGTATAGAAGTATTGGGGGTTGTTTTCCTTATGATTGATTGATTTGTATATTTGGTTTGTTGTTTTGGGATATTCTTTGGCCATTCCCTTATAGAATTTGTTATGTCATATTAAATGTGATCCACGCTCATTGGAAGACGTTAATTTTATATTCATGTATCGATTGAGACTCCGGTTGCATATTAGGTTGAACTTGAGTTACAAATCAATATCCCCTTAAAAATAGAAAATGTTGTTTGTCGGCGCAGACTACAACTATGGTAATCGTAAGAGGGGGGGGGAAACCACAGAGCTTAGAGATGACAGACATACACTCCCCTCCATAAGTTTGGCAACCTTTTTTCTCCATTGAACTACGTGTTAAAGCCTCTTTACGTTTGAATTTTTATTTACTTAACCGGCGATGAAATAACTTATGATATTAATTGAAACGTAACTTGACTTTACTTGACTTTTTTCCTCAATTACAATAGGTCGAAAATTGATGATAAATTTGTTAAATTTTTGAACATCGTCATTCCCATGTAATCAAATGGGAAATGGAGGGTTCGGGGCAAATCAGAAATCAGGATATCTTTTCAGTAAAAGATTCAGCAAAAAATATTTTTATATAGAAAATTGAATTGTCTAACTTTTTTTAACACTATGTGTTTAGTTTATTTGATGAATATTAAAGTTACAGCGCTTCAAAGTTATTTTTGAAAATTATTTTTCGCCTCCTGTGTTATTTCAATGGGAGAGGTTTTTTGAAAAACAATTTTGACTTTAAAGCCCTATAACTTTGTTGAACCTGAAGAAACATATCAATTTTTTGTTAATCAAAGTTAGCAAATTCAATTACCTGCCCAACTCGTATTTTTTGCAAGGACTCGGATGGATGGATATTCTGTCAAAATGACTTGCGGCAAACCTACCATTTCCCATTGGTTAACATAGGAATGTAGATTTTCAAAAATTCATCAAATTCATCATCAATTTTCGACCTATTGTAATTGAGGAAAAAAATGGAGAACATTTGGAGGTATTGGAATTAAAGTCAAATTACGTTTCCACCAATAGTTATAAGTATTTTCATTGCAGGTTAAGTACTAGTAAATAAAAATTCAAAGGTAAAGAGGCTTTAACACGTAGTTCAATGGGGGAAAAGGGTTGCCAAACTTATGGAGGGGAGTGTTATTACGTCTCTTGCCTACCAAATTCGTTCCTCCGAATTTTCACCAGCTAGTTTTGAAAGACAACACGTCGTTGTGATGTTTTAATCGATGTTAGTATATTACTGACATCTTTGTTTTGATATGAAATAACAAGCTGATATATTAATTAAGGTGGCCTAAAGTGTTGCTTATTTTTTCGTGAAGCCACTCAGTAAAATCACGATTTGGGCATCCGGTAATGACAACGTCTACCCTATGTTTGCACTCGAAATTGACGTAATTCATGACTGAAATCGGGAAGACAAAAATATGTGATATTCTTTCAGAATTGTTTATTATAACTACAAAAATGTTCCCGAGACACAAATCCATTTAGGTAAGGTTTTATGTAAGGTCCAAAAGCCCCAATAAGACAATACAAACCCAGATAAAACCCGGAAGACTGCAGATTTCATGTAATGATTTACGTTCATGTAAACAAGTAAAGTACATATAATTCCCATATAAAACACTGGCCTTCGTGACATGTAATAGCATGTTCAAACTGAAATGTAGAAAATCTTCAACATAGCATTTGCTTCCGTATCCTGTATGCCCATCTACCTGCTTAATAAGGCAATGTATCTTCAAATAAAACCGTAGCCAAGTAGATTAGAGTCTCTGGAACACTTTTGTAAATAGTTTTCACAAGCAATTTGTGAATCTCAAATTTTTTCTTCACAGTCATGAATTACGCCAATTCCGCGTGCAAACTTTGGATAGGCGTTGTTATTCTTGGACGTCCAAAGGTGTCAGGAACACATAGATACTTGAATGATCTTGATTGGACATAAGGTTGCAGAGAAATCGTAATTTTACTGAGTGGCTTCACGAAAAAATAAAAAGGCTATACGCCTCGTTAGCAGTAACACGCCAGAAATTAACATTTACGTAATTGTATGAAGCGTTTTTTCGTAACATTTTGAAACCACCATTGATTGACGTCATTTGTCTGTCGATTTGACAAATCAACGACGATGTCTTCTCAATACATATCTACATTATAGACACGTCTTCTTTGAACCCCGGTAGTCCCCCTCTCTTGTCACTTCTTTGGTCATAAGAAAATGACATAATGGAGAAAAAAATCACACTGCCATCTTTATAGCATTCAAGCACATTTTTCCAATGTTATTCCTAAATATGCCTTTCGATGTATAGATATATAATGATCATACAATAGTAATGTCTTGCCTCATGCCTTGAGATATGTAAGAATATTTTACCTATTGCATGTCCCAGGTTAATAGCTCCCTTGTCCGTGAAATTGTTATGACTCAAATCCAGATGGTAAAGAGTCGAAGATTCCTAGGAATAAAATTCAAAAATCAATCTATGGCATATAACCGGTATACTCAATCAATTTTGATTTTTTAGCCCAGGTACCTGTAAGTAGATAGAAATTCACTCGTGGGCTGATTACACAATTCACTCGTGAGTTGATAAGACAATTCACTCGTGAGTTGATAAGACAATTCACTCGTGAGTTGATTAAACAATTCACTCGTGAGTTGATTACACAATTCACTCGTGAGTTGATTACACATGCCCTTAGCTTCGAGTAATCCTGCCCCATTGGTTCTTGTTTAAAAAACGTGTTTAAACTTAAAATAAGATATACTGACATTCCCTTTTCTCGTATTAGGATTCGATCCGATCCAGCAATTTTTACCCCATAAAGATACACCAATCTTTCATTCTTAAAATCTGTTGACATCATATGTTAAACAATAACAACAACAATATGACCATGTAAACATTGCTGCTGGGCCGGGGGTATTCACGCATGTTCTACATTTGCTTAAAAATGAATATTTGTTGCGGTGCATGAATGTATCTATTTTCTACAAAATTTATTAGGGCATCATAACAATGGAGAGAAGAGGGATTCAAAAAGGAGATGCGTCACCACTCTCTCCCCCTCTCTCTTAAAAACAATCAACTTCCATCGAGACAAATCATTTATCACATTTTCGACACGATAAAGAATTATCAAATCTCTATCTCCCTATTTCATTCATATATAATAAGGTATAATCAATGATGACATTTATCCTGGAAGATATCGAAGAAATTTTAATATCGCATTAACGAGCAAAAATTTCAATGACGTAGCGTCTTTATAACAAGGGGCCTCAAGGTGGGGACCAATGCAATGGGTACATCTGAACGTTCACATTCTCTTTCATTTCAACCATTTCAAGCATTTCGGCCTTTTCGCCCCCCCCCCCGTTTCAAGCATTTCGCCCGCCAGCGTATACACCCCTTAAGACCAACGTACCTGCAAAACCTTTGCCAACGTCACCGCATCTTGGTCATCTAACTTATTTCCGGAGAGGTCGATTCTGGAGAGGAACGTGTTCTCAAGCAGAACCTCGCATAATATATCTACACCTTTGCCTTTAAGGGAATTGTTAGCAGCACCCTGTAATGAATGGACTATATCATGCTTTATGGAGACTTCTCTACTAAATTAGTTCAAGGAGCTTTGCCTATCATTTTGTAAAGAAGTTTAGGATTATTCTACCCTTTGCATCCGCTCGACTTCGCCTCATAAAAGAGAGTTCGTATTTATAACTGGACTCCGCAGGGTTACGTTATTTGAAAGTTTGATGAGGTTAAGGTAAATGCTGTACATATTGTTTTGTTATTTATCTATTACATTTAATATTACTTGAAGCGGATATGTTTATAAATTCAACTTACAAGTTGTCTGATGAAAACGTTCTCATAAAACATCAAACTGAGATGGTAAGCTCCATTTGCATCTATAGAGTTACCGTCCAAAAGAAGTTTACTGATCGTCGAATTTATCTGAAAATACACGGAATTCAAATACAGTTTTGTGTTGTGGTTTATGATTTATCGAACTAATTTATCCAACTCGTAAATGAATAACATAAATATTCGTTTCATAATTAAACGTCTAATATAACTTTTTGATACTAATTTGAAGAAGGTGCGTTTTATATTGGCTGGATTAATGTCATAAAGGTTGTAGGAAGAAATCTGTCCAAGCAAAAATTGGATTATATGAGGCACATTGAGAAGTTTGAAAAAGTACAACCTGACAAAAATGACATCATCAGTCTAGCCAATATATCCTAGCTTGATGTAGCAATCTATCCCGGAATCTGTCGGAGAAAAATGGGATTAACTTCTTGCTCATTTTGAAAAAGTACAATCAATCAAGCCAATATGTAATTGCTTCGATGTAATATCATACACTGTACGATGGTAGGAAATTTTGGAAAGGTCTATACTCACCATCAATGCATTCGAAAGAGCGATTATGTCATTTTCTCCGATACACCTATTCTTCAGGTTGATCTCTGAGCAAGGTTGTGTAACACCGTCTTGTTTCCCCGACAACGCACTAAGAATTGTCCCAATTGGTATTACATTGAGTCTGTTGCAGATTTTTATGTAAAGCTCTCTGCAAGGTGTCGACCGATATTTTTTCAGTTCACCTGAGAATTAAAATCATACGGTTTGTTTATATACAGTACTAGGATATAACAAGAAAAAGGGATCGAACACTCTACCCGGCATTAAGACATGTCTTGAATGCAATTGAGTAATCCAACTAGACGACTTTGAACTTGGAATTCTGGGAAAAACTAATTGAATTTAAATTCATCACAACGTGTGTTTCTCTTTAAGATCAGATAAGATTAAATAAAGGTTTCCAGATTTTTCCTTTTAGGCTTAATAGTACAGTCATACGTTACAAAACTTTTGAATAATATAATAATCAAATCAAGTTTTACAGTTCACTCACTTTCTTCATTTTCCTCTACGTCGGTGTCAAAATCACTATCATTAAATATGTCGACCTCTGGCTTACTTTCGGAGAGTTTGTTGTCGTCAGATACCTGTCGTCAAATCGGATATGAAAGTCATATATATATTTATCCAATGCCCAGTAGAGTTTTAGGGAGGTAAGTCGGTAAAGTATATCCCGTATCCTGATTTTGAGGTTTCCATATCCAGAACCTCCATATCTCCCGCTCCAGGGCATATCTTCCCGCTTTGAAAAAAGTTTGAAAAAAATTTGAATAAATTGAAAAAAATTAGAAAACTCTACTGGGTATAGGATAAAGCAATTATCTACGGTCGGTTTGGATATGGGGTTTATCCCTCGTGAGATATGCACATCTATCTTTGGTCCATACGGCCCCTTCGGTCCCTCGGGTAGATATGCATATCTCCCTCTGGATAAACCACATGTCCAAAACCTCCCAGTACGCAAACCTTATATATACAACATCGAGATGGTATCTTGTATGACACTGTGGAGTAACTCTTCAAAATGTTACGAAAACGACCCTTTTAGCAAGAACATGTGTCAGCATCATATGTTTTAGAAAATCTAACGTTTAGAAACGAATAATTCACGAGGCGACAGAATCGTTAAAGTCTGTATTTAAACCGTTCTGTGTACGTGATAATATTGAGGAATTAATTTGATCATTTTTGGCCCCTCGTGAACCATATGTTCATAAATTATTTTGGTTTTCATAAACATATGAGGCTGAGACATGTTTGTACCAAAAAGGTCGTGGGGATTTTGCATAGAACTCGTGAAATAGCGAAAAAAGAAAATTCAAACGTTTGTTTCCATAACATTCTAGTTTGAAGTGTTCCTCCGCATATATTGTTTTGGGCTTCCCGATGTCATCAAGAATGGCAACTGATTCACATTGAAATGTTGTTTCTCACATCAAAACAATTTAAAATACGATGTTAAATTATCAAGTTTTCAATACCTTATCGAGTTCATCTATCAGAGGTACTGATGTCTCAGTATTCATATAGGGATCAGTAATCTCTTCATTTGTATCATGGCTTGCTTGTTGTTTATTTTTGGGTAGCTCTTTTCCAGATTTCCTTCTGTTCGGGCGATCCAGAATATTATGCGTACCGCCCAGCTCCGGTTTAAGATTTGGCAAATCTAGTGACACCTCTAAATTATTTTTAGGTTCTTTTTCTGTTTTCTTTACTTTGGCTACTGCTGCCAAACGTTGGTATTGCTTCGCGGCATTGGTTAATTCAGTATCCATATTTGTGGAATTGTGTTATTAACTGATATCAACATTCTGATACACACTTGGATCCATTTTATAGACAATCATTTTAGGTGTCTGCCCATTTGCTCATAAATGCTATTCCTAAAAGTAGTCCAGGTAGAATGAGAAATCCAGATTTTATCAACTTAACATATGGCTTGCACACTAACCTCATACAGTACATAGGAGGGTCTAAACACGTAATACTAGCTTCACCCCACAAGATAAGGCCGAATACATCAAATACGTATCACGTCCTTAATTTTGTTTGGTCGGCAACTTCCGAAACATATTATATCCACAATGTCGCATATGAATCCAGAACCGGGGAAACATATTAATTGCATTAATGAGGTTTACTTTCACACCTTAAGCAGGATTGCTCATATATATATATCCAATATTTAATAATTGAAAATCTATATTTGACAAAGCTGCTAGTTTAAATAAATACATCAGTGTGCAGGGTAACCGTGAATAAAGTTCATATCGACTGACTGCATTAGGATATTTCCCTTCCCCTTGATGTCATTTTATCACAATGTTTGTGGTAAATGTCACTATTTAAATGGCCGGTGTGTATTTGCATTTCAAGAAATATATTTCTCTTGAATGACGCTTCCGTTTTCTTGTTTGCGCTTTTCCAAACCGTTTATACCTTTCGCTTTGGGCACATAGGCGAGTAATATTTAGAAGTACACGAGTCAAAATCAAAATACCAAAAGAGCCATCGTGATAAGCCATGCCCTCTCCATCTCTATCCTTCTGGAGAGCATCTGTGATGCAGCAGAGAGAGATGCTATGAGTATCAGAATGCAAAAGAGGTACGAACTAATTTGTAAACTATTCAATCAACCATAAAATGTACGGATGGATCGAATGTCGAGAGATATTTAGAAACACAGAAATTGAACTGATGCTGGCAACCATTATCGTTATCTATAAAGATTTAAGTTTTGACTGATTGACTGATTGAAGTATTATGTCATGTGTGTAAATTGGAAAACTATATCGGTACTTTGAAATTCAATTGTTACTATGAAATTGAAACTTGATAGGCTTGTCTAAGACAAACTATTAATATGAAAATTGACTATCTTAAAATTTATTTTCAAGTAACGGTTCGTTTTCCCAATCCAATCTTTGAACCCTGAAGATCGATAAGGCTGTAAGTATGCATGTCATTTTCTCCATTATTCATTGATCAAGTGACCGATATGGTGGAACAATGCAATTTCAACTAGAATACATATGGGAAAACTAAGCAAATCTTTGCTTAATTTAGCAAATAAAGCGGTCAATTTACATTACCAAGAAACTAAGGTAGGCGGAATACTGATAGAGAAGGTTGTTTTGGATCTGTAAGCTGCTCCTTTGCGTAAGATTCAACTTACACTTCCCAAGGTTAGGGGCGGTCTTAATAACAAGGGGTCAGTTATTTGCTAATCCTTTTCCTGAAAACGTTACCTTTCGGCCCATACCCATAAGGATTATAAGGCCCATTTTCAAAAATAAAGCCAGGATATATATGAAGTGGCGTTTGTTAAAAATATGAAACAATTCTAATATGACGTTGTATAACTCACAAAAATAATAAGAAGCATGAATTGTTTTGATTTCAGGACCTGACTACCCCTCTTCCCAATCTCCTCCTCTTCCCAATCTCCTCTCTTCCTCCTCTTCCTCCATTAATGTTTTAAGAGTGCATGCGCAACATGACAAGTGTTGTTTCTTAATTTTTATTGAATAATGACAAAATATCATAACAATTAATATATCTGGTAAAATTTTAATAAAATGTGTGATATAAACACTTAAACAGTAGATAAAAAGAAGAACAACATTTACTGAAGCTTGGCTGTGTTCAGATTACCGATAAAATTAAAATGCATACTCTGCCTTATATATTGCAACATATAAGGCTACGTCCTCCTTTTAAATAAATCGAGACAACACGAGGCAAAGACAGTTTGATATATACTTAACACGTTCATGTAAATTAAATCAGTTATCAGAGCGAAATTTTTGATAACTGAAGACAAAATATATGCATAAAAATACTGGAAAAATGAGTATTCTTAGTTAACATTTAACAGTAAAATTTACATCTGAGATTCTAGTTTGGCGACTTCGGGATATCGGGCATATTGGCGTCTATTTACTTTGGCGGTTTTTCAAAGGGATAAAGTCTGCTATATACCTTCTCGCCTAATCCAGTTTAATTGTTTTTGAAAAGAATTTAAATTTCTCTAAATTAAACAATTTATAAAGCCCCGGTCATCTTATAACCAGAAGTCTACCGAACGAAAACAAGTCGAATTCCCTGGGATTTTGGCGACTATCTAATCATTTTCCGATTTTTCTTATTCGCTTGATAAACTTGATTTGGGGATTTTTAAAACCCTCGTCAAATTAAAAAAAAATACACTACCCAAGGATGGAATAAGAAATGAATATTACAGACTTGAAAATAAACTACGAGTATTCTCATCCATAAATATCAAACTTGGTGAAGCTTTCAAACAGTACCTCCAGTCTCTGAAAATCTCAACTAGAATCTTCAACGTGGATGAACGGCCCTCGTAATGCCTGGGTCACAATTGCCCCGATTCATCGGCCGGCGCCCAGCCGATTGAGTATTTTAATCAAAAATGAAGGTCAAACTCAAATTTGAGGTCAGATGTGAGCTCCTGAGAAACCGCACATGATTTAAATAAAAAGTTAGATTTTGAAGCAAGTTGAAATCAGTTTTGAACAAAATACTGCAATCGGCCGGGGACCGGCGGATGAATCGGAGCAAATGTGATCAAGGCATCATCATCACGTATGGTTTCACTGCATAGTCAAATGTGAGTCTCAAAAATATTGATCTGAGAAACTGGAAATTGATCGTTGCACATAATTACATCAATGATATACTACGCTATATGAATTATGAATTGGAAGCCAAAATGGTGTACCCTTTAGTTAATTGCCCATGCTTTAACTAGATAAAAACGAAAGTAAGTTTTCACATTTACGGAAGGGATTGTGGTCTCTCCTTATATACTCCTCATCCTAGGGTCTAACAAGTCTTATAATCCAAATGAAATGTTATGGAACATCACTTCTGGGCACCCTATGCACTGAATACACCAAAGACACGAGTTCCGAATGAAACTTAGCATCCAGTTCGATCGTGGCCTACTTGAAAGTACGGACTCGAAATACAACGTCAACATGATTGCATAGATGGAACGTCAGTTAGTGGCCAGGATTGCCTCGTATTCAAGCTGGCCAGCATCATTAAATCCTGTATCGTATGTCTGATTGCAATACGATCTATTCACAAGTCTTGATTTATGCCTATAATTTGAATAATCCATATTTATATCTACTTTTAAATCTTGTGATTTCTGGAGCCAGACCCAAGAATTCACGAAGCACAAAACCACACAAATCCACGCGAGAACGAACGACCAGCCGTAGTGATAAGTCCTGGCAGATTCTATTTTTTGTTTGATCGGTGAATAATTTCCTTCCATGAATTCTCTTCTGTGAAGAAGATGGCACTTTCCATGGAATAAAGCTATAGCTATGGTAAGGCATATACCTGAAAACAAAAAATATATATTGACAAGATTTTAGGTTGATATGCACCCCTCCGTATGTTTATAACCCATATAAAGTTTAAACCACTTTCGGTTTATTGTAGTCTTGCCCAATGTTATCAAAGTCTGATATGTGAAACTTTTTATTTTGATTTCAAAAAGTGGTTTTGAAGGACTTTTTGTTCGAAAAATCGTGAATTTCTTTAAAACGAACTTTTAGAGGTTACACGTATCTTTTAATAAGCGATAATCCATACCAATGCACAGCATTCATCATCACGTGCTTTTTCAGGAGAAAGTCAGTTCATAAATAAGCGAGAAATGAACTCATCAATCCATGAAAATGGTTCAGAGAAAAATGCATTTCAAAATTTTAGTTTTAGAAACCAATGGTACAATAATGTCTAAAACATAATATATTCTTCCTTTTAACCTGGATAAACAATCAGCATTGATTTAATTTTGAAGGTTAGCATATTTAGAAAAGATTGACATAGAAAAAAATTCATTTTTTCAAAAACTTTTTTGCCACCTGAGTGAGCCATTGATGACATCACTCGAGTTGCAAAATATTTTTGATATGCTAAGACATTGAAGTGGCACATTAGATATGGCATTTTATTATTGAAATAGTGTGTACTTTGTTCAATCTTTGCATAGGTGTTAAAAAGATAATATTTTCTGAAATGTATGGTGAAATACATTTGATGTTTAAAAAATTTCAACTTTTTTGAAAAATGGAAATTAGAGTATTTGAGAAATGAAAAGCGGACAATTTATTTTCAAAATTTTTTTATTTTCAAACAATCTCTAAAATAACTTTTAACAGTCATGTCATGAAAATAGTAAATGAATGATAAAAACAACTTTTCAAACATTACACGGATACTTTAAAGCTTGTTCATATTTGAACCTTTATACGAATCAAATCTAATCGATGACAATGAATTTGTAAAAAAAATGTTTTAACACTTCAAGAGGGAGAACTTTCGGTTGCCAAATTTTGACCATAGAAGTCCCACTGGCAGATCCAGGGGGGGGGGGGTCCAATAAAAAGTCTGGGCCCAAAAATGTTGGACCCCCAAATATTTTGTAGGGCCTCAATAAGTGGACATTTTTGGGCATTACTTGACCAAATTATCAAAAAATGGGCCTTATATTTTCATTTTTTCGCATTTGAAATCTGCCTCTCCTTGTTAGCTACTGGATCCGCCAGTGAGTCCAAAGGAATTAGCTATAGATCGTGTCTAACAGTGTAGGCCTATGGTGTTTTGTTGCTTGATTTTATTGCAGCTTTGTTGCAGAGATAGACACCAAATGTACCCAGCTAAGGGAACTATGCGTAGGTGGTAGAAGTGGTTTGATATACTAATACAGTAGGTCGTGTCAAAACCATTAAATATTAAATCAAAAATGAAATTGTTAATCCGTATTACACGATGCAGTGATAACATTCACCAAATGGATCTGCTGCCTATCGGGGAATACCATGTCTATATCATCAAAATGAAAACTACATAAAGTTGACGAGTCCGCTAATTCTCCGATAAATATAGACTTAATGAATGGTAAGAGAATGGAACTGGTCGCTCAAGACCAATATATAACACATTTATAGAATAAAACTCTAGCTTCCATGGATTTATTTCGATACTTTAGTCTTATAATTGTCCCCGCGCGAACAACCCAAACATTTGATTCATAACGCAAAAATATCATTCAGGGACGTCTCGAAGACCATTTTCTAATTAATTTTTACCCAATGGACTGATAAAGAAACACAAGACATAAGCAAAATATCAAGTTAGGTCGCAAGACAGATGTAAAAATGTTTACTAGACAAAAATAGAATATTGCTTTGACGCAAGTCGTTCAACAAATGAACCGGTGTGTTCTTGGTTAGAATACAAAAATATTTCAGCCACATTTTCAGAGACCTGAAATGCATATTTCAGCATGTCTTGTGTCGTTCTCACCATGTTAAATAATAGATGTAACTGAATGAATTTTGGCTTTAGGGGCCCAAACATTTTTTTGTAAATCTATGATTTGCCCCCCCCCCCCCTTGTTGGCCCAGATCCGCCCCTGCTATTGTGAAACTTCTCAAATGGAAATAAATTATCTAAAAGTACGTCCTTCAAGGATTTGTCTTTTAAGTTTATAATATCTGTAGCCAAAATATCAACTAACTTTATCTGCGATTTCACATTACTATTATAAAATACATTTTAACTGCATATTTCACCTTTGATGCTTTTGAGTACAAAACATTATATGCAGATTTAAAATTACCATTTTGATGAAATGTTGCACCCAAATAACAATAGTTTGCACACTGTGTAACTATGCTATTACCAAATTTAAAGATATTTTTCTTTCTAGTTTCATAAAATTTTACCACATGGTTTTGTTAATGTTAACATTTGATTTCCATGTATAACAATATTTTTCAAATTTGTTCAACATCAGCTGTAATCCTTCACGTGCATTCACATTCAAGTGACTAATATAGAATGATCCAGGATTCTTTTTTCCTAAGACAAACCAGCTGGCAAAATGTAAATTTTTGGTATTTGAAAAAAACATCTGCCATATTCACAATATGCTTTTTTCATAAAAACTATGACTCAAAATCTGATAACCAAATTCTTCATCTAACTGCAAAGTTCATCACCAAAAGTATGGAAACGATAGCCCTTGCTTAGCCCTTTATCCATGTATGTACTTTTCACCATTAAATGTCCACTTGTATATTCCTGATTTTTTAGATATGGTGTAACGTCATTAAATGGTGACGGAAGTTAGTGCAACAGATTTTTGACAGTTCATAATTTTTTGGCGAGTAGTTTCTGGCTGTGAAAAATAAATGCATATCAAAGACCAATGCATTATCTTCAAGAAAAGTTCAGAGAATGGTTCCAAGATCAATTGGATTATCTCATAATTCGTGTTTAATCCACCCACTTACAACCTTTTTTCAAAATAGAATCGTTATTTTCACCATCATCCATCAATTTTTTTATATTTTCTTTTTCAAAATTACATTTGTACTTGAACACATGTTTCATCACACAAAATATGTAAATCATTCCATAAAGGGATTTATATTCGTTTTTTAATTTTTTTTTGAAAAAAAAACAACCATTAAAAATGCACGTTTACAGAAATAATTTAGAAGTGATGCAAAAGATGACAATGCTTTTCAATAACATAAATAGTTTGGTGATTTACTCATGTGTGTTTTGTTTTAATCCCTGCATTCACTGACTGAGTTAGCCTATTGAAAAACCATAGAGATTAATAATACAAAAAACAAGGTAATACTGTAAATACTTTGTACTCCAAGCTCATATACACGCTGTTACAGCATGACGGCTACAGGGGCATCAAAAGGATTTGCCAAGGGAGGGGCAACTTTTGGGTATGGATAGGTCATGCGTAAAGCACGCTGCTCGTAAAGCGCAATCTAGGTGGATCGCGGGGCATGCCCACAGATTTAAAAAAATTTAAACCCCCTCTGGTTCATTCTGAACATATCTCAGCACAACATTTCCAATAATAAAAACAAGAAAAAATGTGTTTTTAGAAATCTCAACTTGACTTTGACTAAAAAGAACTTTGATTTTTACTAAAATATACATCAAAGTATTTACATACTGTATGGGTTCCTGAGAAACTATACAATGTATAGAATTAAATATAAAATGAGAATTGAGATCTTCTATGCCTGATATAGACTATATACTAACATAGTGTCATTTCTGTCATTATTACACTTTGACTTTAATTAGCTCTAGAGCCTCCAATTCTAGGCTCAGTTTCAAATCCATATATTCTGATAAAAATGCTCTCATTTGGTGATTTTTTCACATATCCCTCTCATTTTTTCAGAAAATGTAGATCATTTAATTACACATAATTTTCTAAAAGATTATAGCTATACTGTATCTTAAACTAATTAAGAGATAAGGTTGCCATGGTAGCCTTTATTGAGGGTTGGCAGGTCAATTAAATTATAACATACAAAATATCAAAATAACTTGTTATTTTAATTATTCTAAAGCATTTGGAAATCATACATTTTTTCTAAAAATGTTTGGTATTGTTGCTCATTGTTTGTTGCTAAACAAATGTTTATCTGTACTCACTATAACATCACAACAACTCACAATAGTATTGTATGACAGCATCGGCGAACTGACATTACATGTCATGAGCGCACCAAAAATCAAAATGTCAGATGAGGTTAGTGTGGCTGATGCTGAGTGTGGCATTATCAGATACATTAGGAGTACCATTTAGGAGTAGATTTTATGTACTATCAAGAATAAGTAAGAGGACACCTTCAGAGACATACATTATTAAGTGTATGGGCAAGGTGCTATATCTGCATAAAGAATCTATAGGTAGTATTGTAAAGAGGAAGGCATGGCCACTGTTGAAGATCATCCACAATCTGGTTGCAAGAAGAGGTTGCGGACAGAGTATAACACTACGATAAGTTGAGATGCAAAAATGTGAAAATTAGCAAACAAGGGCAACAGGGGTATGGAACAGTTCAACGAATAGTTGTCAATGACTGGAAGATGCGTTTGCTCTACTTAAAATAGGTACCGAGGAATGATTAAATTAACAAATTTATCAATTTTATACGTTATAATTTAACTGACCTGCCTTCCCTAAATACAGCTTACCATGGCAACCTTATCTCAAAATAAGTTTATGATATAGCTATAATATTCTAGTATTGTATATGTAATTACACAATCTACTTGTTCTGAAAAAATGAAAAAGATATGTGAAAAAATCACAAGATGAGAGCATTTTTATCAGAATATATGGATCGCCCCTTGTATACTAATATGGAAAGGGGCTATCAGACCTAGCAATCTTGACTTGACAGGTGTACAGGTTTACTTACAATTAATATTTTGAGTGCCTCTGAGGCACACATACTGAGAAAACACGAGAATGGACTAAAAATTATGAACATGGATATCTC